AATAAAACAGAGTAAATAAAGTGTAATGATATTAATAAAAACAGTATTCTTCCACCAAACAATGTAGCTCCTCAGAAACAGTTGTGGATGCAACAAAGTGGTTGCCGAGCAACACACAAACGTAAACAAAGGTGTATGTTACTTTGTAGAGTCATTTACAACAGCTTCGAACGCGGCTCAGCCAATCAGAATCAAGCACCGGAACTATCTGTTTTATAAAGATTATTATATTCATGCATCATGATATTTACTTGGTATTCCAAGGCAGGATTATTATAGTTAACTAAAACTAAAACCAAAAAAAAAAAATCATTACTTTAAATAAATTGAACATTAAATTTAAAAAAAATGTTGAACTTGAAGTAAATAAAAAAAATATAATTAAAATTAATTTACCTAATAAAAATTTTGTTTACCTTGACTACAGCTAAAATAACTAAAACTGAAATAAAAATTAATTCAAATTATAGATATATTAAAAAAAACTAAAAAAATGACAAAAACACATAAAAAATTTACTAAAACTTTAAAATTACAATAATTCAAAATGCTAATAAGACAATAATAGTATCTAAATGTGACTAAAATAACACTTTTCCAAGGTACTTCAAAGAACACCAGGGTTTTACCGTAACGCAGAGTACTGTGTTGTGTTTCAGCCTGTGTTTGTGTCTGTCTGTGTGTGTGTGTGTTTGTGTCTGTCTGTGTTTGTGTTTGTGTCTGTGTGTGTGTGTGTGTCTGTGTTTGTGTCTCTGTGTGTGTGTGTGTGTTTGTGTCTGTCTGTGTTTGTGTCTGTCTGTGTTTGTGTCTGTCTGTGTTTGTGTCTGTCTGTGTTTGTGTCTGTCTGTGTTTGTGTCTGTCTGTGTTTGTGTCTGTCTGTGTTTGTGTCTGTCTGTGTTTGTGTCTGTCTGTGTTTGTGTCTGTCTGTGTTTGTGTCTGTCTGTGTTTGTGTCTGTCTGTGTTTGTGTCTGTCTGTGTTTGTGTCTGTCTGTGTTTGTGTCTGTCTGTGTTTGTGTCTGTCTGTGTTTGTGTCTGTCTGTGTTTGTGTCTGTCTGTGTTTGTGTCTGTCTGTGTTTGTGTCTGTCTGTGTTTGTGTCTGTCTGTGTTTGTGTCTGTCTGTGTTTGTGTCTGTCTGTGTTTGTGTCTGTCTGTGTTTGTGTCTGTCTGTGTTTGTGTCTGTCTGTGTTTGTGTCTGTCTGTGTTTGTGTCTGTCTGTGTTTGTGTCTGTCTGTGTTTGTGTCTGTCTGTGTTTGTGTCTGTCTGTGTTTGTGTCTGTCTGTGTTTGTGTCTGTCTGTGTTTGTGTCTGTCTGTGTTTGTGTCTGTCTGTGTTTGTGTCTGTCTGTGTTTGTGTCTGTCTGTGTTTGTGTCTGTCTGTGTTTGTGTCTGTCTGTGTTTGTGTCTGTCTGTGTTTGTGTCTGTCTGTGTTTGTG